GCTGAGGCTGAGGCTGAGGCAGGCTGAGGCTGAGGCAGGCTGAGGCTGAGGCCGAGGCTGAAGGCAGACTGAGGCTGAGGCTGAAGCAGGCTGAGGCTGAGGCTCAGGCAGGCTGAGGTTCGCTCTCTCCGCGCGCGGCTCGCATAGCACAACTCAGGAGAGCCCCCCTCTCTCGCCGCCAGGGCGGCGCTTTTGGGGGCGAGGCTTCTCCGATACATCCCCCTTTTCTTTGTGTTCCCCTTCTCTTTATCTCCCCCCATCCCCTCGGCCGGCGGGGTCGAGAGGATCCGCGCGAAATGCGCGCGAGGCTGAGGCAGGCCGAGGCTGAGGCTGAGGCAGGCTGAGGCTGAGGCTGAGGCAGGCTGAGGCTGAGGCAGGCTGAGGCTGAGGCCGAGGCCGAAGGCAGACTGAGGCTGAGGCTGAAGCAGGCTGAGGCTGAGGCTGAGGCAGGCTGAGGCTCGCTCTCTCCGCACGCGGCTCGCATAGCACAACTCAGGAGAGCCCCCGTCTCTCGCCGCCAGGGCGGCGCTTTTGGGGGCGAGGTTTCTCCGATACATCCCCCTTCTCTCTTTGTTCCCTCTCTTTATCTCCCCCCATCCCCTCGGCCGGCGGGGTCGAGAGGATCCGCGCGAAATGCGCGCGAGGCTGAGGCAGGCCGAGGCCGAGGCTGAGGCAGGCTGAGGCTGAGGCAGGCTGAGGCTGAGGCTGAGGCAGGCTGATGCTGAGGCAGGCTGAGGCTGAGGCTGAGGCTGATGCAGGCTGAGGCTGAGGCAGCCTGAGGCTGACGCCGAGGCTGAAGGCTGACTGAGGCTGAGGCTGAAGCAGGCTGAGGCTGAGGCTGAGGCAGGCTGAGGCTCGCTCTCTCCGCACGCGGCTCGCATAGCACAACTCAGGATAGCCCCCCTCTCTCGCCGCCCGGGCGGGCGGCGCTTTTTTGGGGCGAGGTTTCCTCCCGATACATCCCCTTCTCTCTTTGTTCCCTCTCTTTCTCTCCCCACATCCCCTCGGCCGGCGGGTCGAGAGATCCGCTCGAAATGTGCGCGAGCTGAGGCAGGACCGAGGCTGAGGCCGAGGCAGCTGTGAGGCTGAGGCAGGGCTGAGGCTGAGGCAGGCTGAGGCTGAGGCCGAGCTGAAGGCAGACCTGAGGCCTTGAGGCTGAAGCAGGCTGAGGCTGAGGCTGAGCATGCGGGAGCTTCGCTCTCTCCGCGCGCGGCTCGCATAGCACAACTCAGGAGAGCCCCCCTCTCTCGCCGCCAGGGCAGCGCTTTTCGGGGCGAGGTTTCTCCGATACATCCCCCTTCTCTCTTTGTTCCCTCTCTTTATCTCCCCCCCATCCCCTCGGCCGGCGGGGTCGAGAGGATCCGCGCGAAATGCGCGCGAGGCTGAGGCAGGCCGAGGCTGAGGCTGGAGGCAGCTGAAGGCCCTGAGGCTGAGGCTGAGGCAGGCTGAGGCTGAGGCAGGCTGAGGCTGAGGCCGAGGCTGAAGGCAGACTGAGGCTGAGGCTGAAGCAGGCTGAGGCTGAGGCTGAGGCAGGCTGAGGCTCGCTCTCTCCGCACGCGGCTCGCATAGCACAACTCAGGAGAGCCCCCCTCTCTCGCCGCCAGGGCGGCGTTTTTTGGGGCGAGGTTTCTCCGATACATCCCCCTTCTCTCTTTGTTCCCTCTCTTTATCTCCCCCCATCCCCTCGGCCGGCGGGGTCGAGAGGATCCGCGCGAAATGCGCGCGAGGCTGAGGCAGGCCGAGGCTGAGGCTGAGGCAGGCTGAGGCTGAGGCTGAGGCAGGCTGAGGCTGAGGCAGGCTGAGGCTGAGGCCGAGGCTGAAGGCAGACTGAGGCTGAGGCTGAAGCAGGCTGAGGCTGAGGCTGAGGCAGGCTGAGGCTCGCTCTCTCCGCACGCGGCTCGCATAGCACAACTCAGGAGAGCCCCCCTCTCTCGCCGCCAGGGCGCGCGTTTTGGGGCGAGGTTTCTCCGATACATCCCCCTTCTCTCTTCTCTCTTTGTTCCCTCTCTTTATCTCCCCCCATCCCCTCGGCCGGCGGGGTCGACAGGATCCGCGCAAAATGCGCGCGAGGCTGAGGCCGAGGCTGAAGGCAGACTGAGGCTGAGGCTGAAGCAGGCTGAGGCTGAGGCTGAGGGAGGCTGAGACTCGCTCTCTCCGCACGCGGCTCGCATAGCACAGCTCAGGAGAGCCCCCCTCTCTTGCCGCCAGGGCGGCGCTTTTTGGGGCGAGGCTTCTCCGATGCATCCCCCTTCTCTCGTTGTTCCCTTTCTTTATCTCCCCCCATCCCCTCGGCCGGCGGGGTCGAGAGGATCCGCGCGAAATGCGCGCGAGGCTGAGGCAGGCCGAGGCTGAGGCTGAGGCAGGCTGAGGCTGAGGCTGAGGCGGGCTGAGGCTGAGGCAGGCTGAGGCTGAGGCCGAGGCTGAAGGCAGACTGAGGCTGAGGCTCAAGCAGGCTGAGGCTGAGGCTGAGGCAGGCTGAGGCTCGCTCTCTCCGCACGCGGCTCGCATAGCACAACTCAGGAGAGCCCCCCTCTCTCGCCGCCAGGGCGGCGCTTTTTGGGGCGAGGTTTCTCCGATACATCCCCCTTCTCTCTTTGTTCCCTCTCTTTATCTCCCCCCATCCCCTCGGCCGGCGGGGTCGAGAGGATCCGCGCGAAATGCGCGCGAGGCTGAGGCAGGCCGAGGCTGAGGCTGAGGCTGAGGCTGAGGCTGAGGCTGAGGCTGAGGCTGAGGCTGAGGCTGAGGCTGAAGGCAGACTGAGGCTGAGGCTGAAGCAGGCTGAGGCTGAGGCTGAGGCAGGCTGAGGCTCGCTCTCTCCCTCGCCCCCTCCCCCCTCCCCCCCGCACGCGTAGCATAGCACGCGGCTCGCATGGCACAACTCAGGAGGGCCCCCCTCTCTCGCCGTCAGGGCGGCGCTTTTGGGGGCGAGGTTTCTCCGATACATCCCCCTTCTCTCTTTGTTCCCTCTCTTTATCTCCCCCCATCCCCTCGGCCGGCGGGGTCGAGAGGATCCGCGCGAAATGCGCGCGAGGCTGAGGCAGGCCGAGCTGAGGCTGAGGCAGGCTGAGGCTGAGGCTGAGGCTGAGGCTGAGGCAGGCTGAGGCTGAGGCCGAGGCTGAAGGCAGACTGAGGCTGAGGCTGAAGCAGGCTGAGGCTGAGGCTGAGGCAGGCTGAGGCTCGCTCTCTCCCTCGCCCCCCCCTCCCCCCCGCGCGCGTAGCATATCACGCGGCTCGCATAGCACAACTCAGGAGAGTCCCCCTCTCTCGCCGCCAGGGCGGCGCTTTTGGGGGCGAGGTTTCTCCGATACATCCCCCTTCTCTCTTTGTTCCCTCCCTCCATCCCCTCGGCCGGCGGGGTCGAGAGGATCCGCGCGAAATGCGCGCGAGGCTGAGGCAGGCCGAGGCTGAGGCTGAGGCAGGCTGAGGCTGAGGCTGAGGCTGAGGCTGAGGCAGGCTGAGGCTGAGGCCGAGGCTGAAGGCAGACTGAGGCTGAGGCTGAAGCAGGCTGAGGCTGAGGCTGAGGCAGGCTGAGGCTCGCTCTCTCCGCACGCGGCTCGCATAGCACAACTCAGGAGAGCCCCCCTCTCTCGCCGCCAGGGCGGCGCTTTGGGGGGCGAGGTTTCTCCGATACATCCCCCTTCTCTCATTGTTCCCTCTCTTTATCTCTCCCCATCCCCTCGGCCGGCGGGGTCGAGAGGATCCGCGCGAAATGCGCGCGAGGCTGAGGCAGGCCGAGGCTGAGGCTGAGGCAGGCTGAGGCTGAGGCTGAGGCAGGCTGAGGCTGAGGCAGGCTGAGGCTGAGGCCGAGGCTGAAGGCAGACTGAGGCTGAGGCTGAAGCAGGCTGAGGCTGAGGGTGAGGCAGGCTGAGGCTCGCTCTCTCCCTCGCCCCCTCCCCCCCCTCCCCCCTCCCCCCCATCGCGCGTAGCATATCACGCGGCTCGCATAGCACAACTCAGGAGAGCCCCCCTCTCTCGCCGCCAGGGCGGCGCTTTTTGGGGCGAGGTGTTTTTGATACATCCCCCTTCTCTCTTTGTTCCCTCTCTTTATCTCCCCCCATCCCCTCGGCCGGCGGGGTCGAGAGGATCCGCGCGAAACGCGCCCGACATAGCACAAGTCGGGCTCGGAAAACAACGTTCTCGATCCAAAAGATGGAAATTATTTTTCATATGCCAAACTCGTTTTCACGATTTGTGCTATGTCATTGGTGCCATGCTTGAGCGACCGAGTATATGCTGTTAATGATGATGGTGATAATGCTGATGATTATCACGCTGCTGATCATGATTAAGGTGATGATGATACTAACGATGATGATGTTGATGATGATGATGATGATGATTCTAATGTTGATGCTGATGCTGATGATGCTGATGATTCTGATGATGATGCCGAAGTCGATGCTGATGATTCTGATGATGATGCTGATGATGATGTTGCTGCTGATGATGATGCTGATGAGGATGGCGATGATGATGATGAGGAGGATGATAATGAGGATGAGGATGAGGATGAGGATGAGGACGAGGATTATGCTGATGATGATGATGATGATGACGATGCTGATGATGATGTTGATGATGATGACAGTGTTGTTGTTGTTGTTGTTGTTGTTGTTGTCTTTGGTGGTGGTGATGATGATGACGATGATGATGATGATGAGGATGAGGATGAGGATGAGGATGATGATGCTGATGATGATGCTGATGATGATGAGGATGATGATGAGGATGATGATGAGGATGAGGATGATGGTGATGGTGATGGTGATGATGATGGTGATGGTGATGGTGAGGAGGAGGAGGAGGAGGAGGAGGAGGAGGAGGAGGTTGAGGAGGAGGATGAACACGAGGAGGAGGAGGAGGAGGAGGAGGAGGAGGAGGTGGAAAAAGGGTTGCCCACCCCGATCCAAGCAATGACCGCGGACCTCCGGGAACTTCTGCTGGTGCAGCTGTTTCTTCTTCTGCCGGCTGCCGCTGAGCGCGGCGTCCGGCTCGGCGAGCCACGAGGCCGTTGACGTGGGCCACGGGCCGTGGCTGCGTGGGCTGCTGGAACGGGAGGGGGTGGCGCCCTCAGAGGCGGCCGTGGTGAGCGTGCACGCCTGCGGCGTGGTGACGGACACCATAGTCCAGACCTCCAGCGTGTTCAAAAATCAGCGCGGAGGTTTTTCGTAGTCTTCTGCGTCTGGGGGGCCTCGCCAGGCCCCAGGGCTGTCAAGAAATGATCGGGGGCGAAGCACTGGTTCCGGGAACGTGGTTCAGAGTGCAAGGAGTGGCGTATTGAAACTGTCCAGGCGTCGGGGGTTTGGGATTGCCCAAAACTCCTCGTGCCAAGGAAGTGAAAGAGGCACGTCGAATTGTTTCTGCCACCTCGGGCTCCTGGATCCAGAGGTCTGGGCGTGGCAGTTTTTTCACACTGAGCGTTCTCGCTCGGATTCGGGCCCCAGCGCCCTCACAGAACGATCTATTCGGCGCCGACATTGGCGCGTAAGCTGCCCGCGTAAGGTCGCGCGTAACTGCCCTCGCTTCCTCTGCAGCGTGCCGCGGCGGCGGCCCTCGTGAGCCACCGCGTAGTGTCGCTGCGCCATCTCGCGCAAGACCCGTTCTTGATCGTCGCTCACGTGGAACTCGGATCCCAGTGATCTGGCGCGACGCTGTCACTTCTCGGGACGTCGGCTCTCGGGGAATGCCTGCATCGGACTCTGGGGCTGCGAGAGAACGCTTCGGGGTGGAGAGTCGGTCCGGGGGCAGGGGGTCGAGCCCTCCTGGGGTTCTGCGTGCCGCGCGGCGACGCAGGCACCATTTCGGGGGCCTGGTCGGGGGTGAGAGTGAGAAGGAGAAGGCCTCCTCAGAAGGCGACGGAACTTCTCAGAAGCCCCCCGGCCTTCTGAGAATTCTGTTCTGTCTTCGGGGAAGGCTCGGAACACTTCTCGGAAGGCCGGGGGACTTCCGAGCCTTCTGAGAAGGCTTTCTCCTTCTCATTTCCCCCCCTCGTTCACCGCCGATCCAGACCTGTCCTTTTTCCCGGAAAGGGCTTAGGCGCAGGGTTCTCTTTTAGAGGTTTACCCGCGGATCTGACGGCTGTAGGGCCGGCGAATTTCTTTTGCGATAAATAACGAGGTCGCGTGGGGCCGGCGAATTAAAATTTGAGAGTGTCGCGAGCGAAACGCTCGTGTTTCAGAATTTGTTGAGGATGTCTCGAGCGAAACGCTTGTTTTGTGTTATAGTTTGTCCTCTTCTGGGGGCCTGAATTCGGAGGATCTCTCAAGATGCTTGTTTTCACGTGCCCTGGTCTTGAGGATGTCTTGAGCGAGACGCTTGGTTTCACGCCTCCAGGTTGCCCAGACAGATGTCTAGCATGAGGATTTGTTGAGGATGTTTCGAACCAGAGGATTGTTTTCACGTGTCCAGGTCGCCCAGGCGGATGTCTAGCATGAGGATGTGTCGAGGAAATCTCGATCGAGACGCTTGTTTGCACGTCTCCAGGTTGCCCAGGCGAATGTCTAGCATGAGGATGTGCTGAGAACGTCTTGAGCGAAACGCATGTTTTTATGTGTCCAGGTCGCCCAGTCACAGCACAGCCCTCGGCACGGAACATCAATATCGATACCCTTAGCATTGCAGCCTGGCATGTTGCTTGGCACGTTCCACGGAGAGTCCCGTGGCGAGTCCCCCTGGCACGTCGCGCGGTGCACGTCCATTGGCACGTTCCGTAGCGCGTCCCCTTGGCACGTCCCGCGGTGCGTGCCCATGGCACGTCCCCTGGCACGTCGTCTGGCGCGTCCCTTGGGACGCTGCGCGTTCTCCTGGCATGTCCCCCTGTCGATTAGTTCTGGGGCAGCTACCATCTGCTCAGGCAGCTCGAGCTTAAGATCCAGATCAGTTCGGTCAGGACTCGGATGCCAGGGAGGACTCGATCCACAAGGCTATATAGAGCACAATCGCGGCATGGCACATCGCAGTTCAGCACGGTCCAGCACAGCACAGCCGTCGGCACGGTACATCAAGATCGGTACACTCAACATTGCACCTTGGCACGTTCCTTGGCGCGTTCCGTGGCGAGTCCACCTGGCACGTCGCGCGGCGCGTCCCCTGGCACGTCCCGCGGCACGTCCATTGGCGGCACGTTCCGTAGCGCGTCCCCTTGGCACGTCCCGCGGTGCGTGCCCATGGCACGTCCCCTGGCACGGCGCCTGGCGCGTCCCTTGGGACGTTCCGCGGCGCGTCCTCCCGGCAGGACACCTCTATCGATTAGTTTTGGGGCAGCTACCATCTGCTCAGGCAGCTCGAGCTTAAGATCCAGATCAGTTCGGTCAGGACTCGGATGCCAGGGAGGACTCGATCCACAACGCTATGTAGAGCACAATCGCGGCATGGCACATCGCAGTTCAGCACGGCGTAGCACAGCACAGCCATCGGCACAGTACATCAAGATCGATACATTCAGCATTGCATTGGACCGTCGCCCAATCAGGTGTCTTTGATAAGTTGCCATGCCTTACATTTTTATATTCCTTTCCGGGTTCGTGGGTCGATCATGTTTGTCCAGTGCGGGTCTGCAACCCCAGCACCTGTGTGGGGCCAATCGGCGCTGGGGCAGCAGACACCCCCGTGGGGGGTGCAGGCATCCTTCTGGTTCTGAATCCACGCCTTTGTTTCAGAGCTCTGAGCTGCGGGCGCAGAGTTGACGCGGGATTGCCGAACGTGGTCCCTGGAGATCTCGGCCTGGACAGGCTTTTCGTCATGTGCTTGTTCACTCTGCTGGGCCTAGAGCCACGCAGCCAGCCCCCTGTCGCAAGCATCACCCCAAAACGTGTCCGCCGGCCCCTCAGGAAAAGCTTACGTATAAGCTTACATCCTCTTCCAGTGCATGCCAGAGGTGGCGGGCACTTTCTGTTCGTACCGCTCGGGTAACGCTACACAATTTCTGGACGCGCTCCCACCAGTGCACGTCGTAAGAGTGTGTCCCGCTGCGCCCCAGATCTCCTAAGGAAGGAAAAGCGCCGTAAACATGAACTGTTGGCGCTCCGCGCGGATTTCTTGGATCCGCGCTGGGGCCCGGCGGCGCCTCCGGCGCCGTTCCTGGCGCGCTCCGCGCGTCAGGGAGGGGGGGCCAGCGAAGATCCAAGAGATCCGCGCAGAGCGCCAAAAGTTTACGTTTATGACGTTGTTTTGTTTTTTCTTCTTGTTCTTATGTTTCCAAGACGTTGGAGGTCTGGGCACCATCATCGGTGGTTCAAAGATGGGGTCCTGAGGGATGGGGTCATGAGGATAGGAAGGGATCCGAGGGTGGATTCACATTGTTTGAGGCACCTCGTCCTCGGGGCCCCATCCCTCGGGGCCCCATCCTTTGAGCCGCCGGCATCATCGACAGCTGCATCCACGCCGGGGTGGACTTCGCGGTCATGCCCTGCTGCCACGGGCGCGGCAGGGACCCCCTGCACCAGACCCTCCGGGACGCCGCGGGCACCCTGGGGGTGCCCCTGGCGGTCGCCACCGACCTAGCGAGGCTGGGTGCCATCACAGCGCGGGGGTACCGGGCCAAAGTCCGCAGGGTGGATCCGGACATCTCAGAGGAGGGCGAGGGAAGACCACGGTTGTTTAAGTCGGGCTTGTCCCTCCATACAGGGGGAAGATTCAGAAATCGTGAACAAAATTGTCTGGGGACTATTGATTGACTATGTTTGACCATTGTGGAATATCCGTAAGGGCTTCGCCCCCTGCCGCTGGCCCCCTCTCTCGGAGAATGGGCCATGGAAAAGCGAAGTCATGGGGCTTTGGCTTTGCCGTGAAGCAGTGTCGGGACCTATTTGTTTTTCGACCCTGACCCTGCCGATCTGCATGAGGGGTGCCGCCGAATTTCAGATATGTGGCAAATCTCTTATGCTTTTGGACCCTGACCCTACGGATCTGCGTGAGGGGTGCCACCGGATTTCAGAAATGTTTCGAATCCCATGTGTTTTTGGACCCTGACCCCGCCGATCTGCGTAATGGGGTGCCACCGGATTTCAGAAATGCGGAAAATCCCGTATGTTTTTTGGACCCTGACCCCGCCGATTTGCATGAGGGGTGCCGCCGAATTTCAAACATGCGGCAAATCCTATGTGTTTTTGGACCCTGACCCCGCCGATCTGTGTGAGGGGTGCCACAGAATTTGAGAAATGCGGCAAATCCCTTGTGTTTTTGGACCCTGACCCTGCCGATCTGCGGGAGGGTGCCATAAATTTTAAACATGCGGCAAATCCCTCATGTTTTTGGACCCTGACCCCGCCGATCTGCATGAGGGGTGCTACCGAATTTCAGACATGTGGCAAATACCTTGTGTTTTTAATCCCTGACCCCGCCGATCTGCGTGAGGGGTGCCCGGAAATTTGAGAAATGCGGCAAATCCCTTGTGTTTTTGGACCCTGACCCTGCCGATCTGCGGGAGGGTGCCATAAAATTTTAAACATGCGGCAAATCCCTTGTGTTTTTGGACCCTGACCCCGCCGATCTGCGTGAAGGGTGCTACCGAATTTCAGAAATGTAGCAACTACCTTGTGTTTTTAATCCCTGACCCCGCCGATCTGCGTGAGGGGTGCCCGGAAATTTGAGACATGTAGCAAATCCCGAGTGTTTTTGGACCCTGACCCTGCCGATCTGCGTGAGGGGTGCCACCGATTATAGGAATGTGGCAAATCCCTTATGTTTTTGGACCCTGACCCCGCCGATCTGCGTGAGGAGTGTCAATTTGTACCCCCCCAGGAATTCTGAGAACCCTTCCGGGGGACGCTAACCAGGGTCCTTTTCGCCTCCCCCCCCTCGCGCGGACAGTAATAATTTACAGTAGGAAGCAGAAAGCAGTACTGTAACAATGGAAACTGGAAACTGGAACTGGTGCTGGGAGCAGCAAGCTTAAGCCTCGCAGCCTGATGGCCTGCAAGGGGGCCCGCGGATTTTTGGAGTATGTTTTTTTGTTTCGTCGAATATCCCCCCTGTAGGGGGACACGCCCGACTAAAAGGTAGTTCCAGGTCTCCGAGATGGGGTCGGAGGATCGCGCCGCCGGGCCGGTGCACGGACGATGA